GGGGTTCCTAAGACCATCAGAAATATATTCTCCCTCTGAAATCCTCTTGTGACCCCTTTCCCAGGGGTCCTGACCCTCATGTTGAGAAATGCTGTTGAAGAGGATGTGATATTAGGGCATTGCAAGCTCCGTCCTTTCTCTCTCCAAGTGTTTGTTTCCTTCTTGCTCCATAAAGCTTGTTAATTATCCACCTCTCTCTCTCTCTCTCTCTCTCTGGGCGAAGGGCCACCCTCCTCCCTTCCTGGGAGCCTATGGGTTAAGGGACGGCGGCTATTATTTAACTTTGGACTGACATCATATGGCTTTATCTTCAGATTTTGGCAGCTGATCCCCGGCCGCTCCTCCCTCCGGGTTGAGCCGGGATTGTGCAATATAAGGACAGTGCATTGCACCGAGTCCATCCCAGAGGCTTTTCGGGAGAGCTCTTCAATTGCCCAGGTAATCGGCACCGGGGAAGATTGGCAAGTTCATCCACGAAGGAAACCCCCGGCGCCTGGTCCTGATTGTCGCTCCGCCGTTTTGGAGAAAGCAGAACAATCGTAATATTGAACCGGCAGGCCTTTTTGTCTGTGTCCTGATCTGGTAGTTTCTGGACCGTTTCGGGATATCGGAGCCTCCGTTTCACAGCGCTATGGCCGAACTTGTTGATCAAAGCAGATCCGAACGGAGGCAATCTTGACAAGCCAAGTTTGTGCTGCAGGTGGCAATTGGAAAAGAGTGTTTAGAGGACCGTGTTGTGTGCAGAAAAGCATGAAGATATTTCAGCATATTAGCGACTGCTCCTTCAGCAATGCGGTTTGGAAGTGGTGAGTGGCCCAAAGGGGAGGACATCGAATTGTTTTGGTAGCTTAGATGTGAGGTTGGGTTGAGATCCAAGAGAAAAAATTGGTGGTTCTACTGACGGAGTATCCACTGGGTTGTGGTGTGTTTTCCCGGCTGTATGGCCATATTACAGAAGCATTCTCTCCTGACATTTCGCCCACATCCAAAACTCCAATAATAATAAGAATAAGAATAATAATTATTATATCAGTATGTCAGCAAACGACATATGCTGGATTTCGTATACAAAATCACAAATCGAACACTTCCCAAGCGTCTAGGACTGTGTGATCTATTATTATTATTATTATTATTATTATTATTATGACTGTGTGAAGTATTATTATTATTATTATATCAGTATGTCACAGCAAACGAGATCTATATGCTGGATTTCATATTGAAAAATCATAAGTCGAACACTTCCCAAGCATCTAGGACTTGTGATGTATTATTATTATTATTATTATTATTATTATTATTATAGTGTGATGTATTATCATTATTATTAATATTATCAAACACTTCCTAAGCATTTAGGACTGTTTGATGTATTATTATTATTATTATTATTATTATTATTATAACAGTGTGTCACAGCATACGAGATCTATATGCTGGAGTTTGTATCGCAAAATCACAAGTCAAACACTTCCCAAGCATCTAGAACAGTGTGATGTATTATTATTATTATTATTATTATTATTATTATTATTATTATGACTGTGTGATGTATTATTATTATATCAGTATGTCACAGCAAATGAGATCTATATGCTGGATTTCGTTTCGCAAAATCACAAGTTGAACACTTCCCAAGCTTCTAGGACTGTGTGATGTATTATTATTATTATTATTATTATTATTATTATTATTATTATTATTATTATATCAGTATGTCACAGCAAACTAGATCTGTATGCTGGATTTCGTATACAAAATCACAAGTCGAACACTTCCCAAGCGTCTAGGACTTGTGATGTATTATTATTTTTATTATATCAGTATGTCACAGCAAACGAGATCTCTCTGCTGGATTTCATATCACAAAATCACAAGTCAAACACTTCCCAAGTGTCTAGGACTGTGTGATGTGTTGTTGTTATTATTATTGTTGTTGTTGTTGTTGTTATTTTAATCACACAAAACTACAGTATGCCATAGCAAACGAGATCTCTATGCTGGATTTCTTATACAAAATCACAAGTCAAACACTTATTATTATGTATTGTCGAAAGCTTTCATGGTCAGAATCACTGGATTGTTGTAGGTTTTTTTGGGCTATAGAGGCATTTTCTCCTGAAGTTTCGCCTGCATCTATGGCAAGCACCCTCAGAGGTAGTGAGGTCTGTTGGAACTAGGGAAAAGGGTTGTTGTTGTTGTTGTTGTTATTATTATTATTATTATTATTATTATTATTATTATTATTATTATTAATATTAGAAACACAACAAGATGAGTCCACAGCAGACATTCTGCTGGCTGTTGTGTAGGATCACACGTTGGACCCTTCCCAAGTGTCTAGGACTGTGTGATGTATCAGCGAATAATGCGTGCAGATCCCAGTAAGGTGGCGTCCTGCAGCTGGCAGATGGTAATTTTGTCAGTGCCAATTGTGTTTAAGTGCAGGCCCATGTCTTTCATTCTCCATTAGTGCCTCTTCAAATTCTACAGCACTGCTGGTCACAGCTGACCTCCAGCTGGAGCGTTCACAGGCCAGGGCTTCCCAGTTCTCAGTGTTTATGCCAGAGTTTTTAAGGTTGTCTTTGAGCCCATCTTTCAATCTCTTTTCCTGTCCACCAACATTCTGCTTTCCGTTCTTGAGTTCGGAGTAGAGCAATGGCTTTGGGAGACGGTGGTCGGGCATCCGGACAACGTGGCTGGTCCAGCAGAGTTGATGGCGGAGGACCATCACTTCAGTGCTGGTGGTCTTTGCTTCTTCCAGCACGCTGATGTTTGCCCGCTTGTCTTCTCAAGAGATTTGCAGGATTTTCCGGAGGCAGCACAGATGGAATCGTTCCAGGAGTTGCATGTGACATCTGTAGACAGTCCACGTTTCGCAGGCATATAACAGGGTTGGGAAGACAATAGCTTTATAAACAAGCATGTTAGTATCCCTACGGATGTCCCGGTCCTCAAACACTCTCTGCTTCATTTTGAAGAATGCTGCACTCGCAGAGCTCAGGCGGTGTTGCATTTCAGTGTCAATGTTGACTTTTGTGGAGACGTGGCTGCCACGGCAGGGTTGGGTGGACAATAGCTTTATAAACAAGCCCCTTGGTCTCCCTACGGATGTCCCGGTCCTCAAACACTCTCTGCTTCATTCGGAAGAATGCTGCACTCGCAGAGCTCAGGTGGTGGTGTATTTCAGTGTCAATGTTGACATCTGTAGACAGTCCATGTCTCGTAGGCGTATAGCAGGGTTGGGAGCACAGTAGCTTTATAAACAAGCACCTTGGTCTTCCTATGGATGTCCCGGTCCTCAAACACTCTGCTTCATTCGGAAAAATGCTGCACTCGCAGAGCTCAGGAGATGTTGTATTTCAGTGTCAATCAGCGTTGAGCATAATCTACACATATGGGGCATCCAAGGTCTACAGAGTACATCTGCAAGGGAGTGTACTGAAATGTTCAAGGGGTTTCCTAGGACAGTATTTTGGTATTTTTGGTCTGATTTCTTGAATCACAGTCTTCCTGTTGGCCGTCAGCATCCTCATCGGTGGTGTTTGGGGGACTATATTTCTAGTTTTAGTCTGTTGAAAGAGGAGGAAATGGTATGCCTTTAGAATTTCCCACATTGCAGCAAAAGGCAGAACTTCCCTGTCTGGACTTTCCTCTTGTCAAAGAAAATATTTTCTTGCATTCATTATAATTTTGACTCTTGAGCAGAACGTGGTTGAGAAATGCCTTTTCGGGAACAAGCCGCTTGGTATCGCAGAGAGGGAAGTGCATGTTTAACTTGCTCCCTGGAACAGATAGAAAAAAAGAGAGCAGGCGTGCTTGGCGCATGGCAGCGTGGTGCACGTGTGTGGGCAACGGAAAGCATGTGAGGCTGGAGGGAGACATGAGGGTTCTGTGTGGGAAGTTTGGCCCAATTCTGTGGTTGGTGGGGTTCAGAATGCTCTTTGATTGTAGGTGAACTATACATCCCAGCAACGACAACTCCCAACTGTCAAGGTCTATTTCCCCCCAAATCCACCAGTGTTCACATTTCAGCATATTGAGTATTAGTGCCAAGTTTGGTCCAGATCTAAACTTGTTTGAGTCCCCAGTGCTCTCTGGATGTAGGTGAACTACATATCCAAAACCCAAGATCAATGCCCACCAAACCCTTCCAGTATTTTCCGTTGGTCATGGAAGTTCTGTGTGCCAATTTGGTTCAATTCCATCGTTGGTGGAGATCAAAGTGCTCTTTGATTGTAGGTGAACTATAAATCCCAGCAAGTACAATTCCTCCAGTGTTCACATTTGGGCATCTTGGGTATTTGTACGAAGCTTGGTCCAGATCTGTCAGTGTTCTCTGAATGTAGGTGAACTACAACTCCCAAACTTAAGGTCAATACCTACCAAACCCTTCCAGTATTTTCTGTTGCTCATGGGAGTTCTATGTGCCAAGTCTGGTTCAATTCCATCATTGGTGGAGATCAGAGTGCTCTTTGATTGGAGGTGAACTATAAATCCCAGCAACTACAACTCCCAAATGACAAAATCTTTTTTTTTTTTTGAGTGAAGGACATACATTGGGTTGTTAGGTGTCTTGTGTCAATACCCACCAAACCCTTCTAGTATTTCCTCTTTGGTCATTGGAGTTCTTTGTGCCAAATTTGGTTCAATTCCATCTTTGGTGGAGCTCAGAATGCTCTCTGATTGTAGGTGAACCATAAATCCCAGCAACTACAACTCCCAAATGACAAAATCAATCCTATCCGTTTTCAAACTTTGGGTGTATCAGGTATTTGTGCCAAATTTGGTCCAATGAATGGAAATGCATCCTGCATATCTGATATTTAGATTACGATTCATAACACTAGCAAAATTAGAGTTGTGTAGCAATGAACATAATGTGATGGTTGGACGTCATGAGATGAGGACGTGTATTCAAACTGGCTCATGACTCTCTCCTGTTGACGTGACAGCTCCAAAATGTCCAATCTTTTCTCCTGGCTTGGTGTTTCCAGGCACATTCAGGACCCAGGAAGCCAGCGGTTGACGTGGAACAAGCCTCCCAAGAGCGTCCTCGTGATCAAGAAGATCCGGGACGCCACTCTCCTGCAGCCCTTCAAGGAACTCTGCATCTATCTCACAGAGGTAAGTTGGAACCGTCAGGGAATGATGGTGTGTCTAGACCAGGCGTCCTTAAACACAGTCGCAACCCAACAAATTTTCCCAAAGGACTCCATGATGATGGGGACACAAACCCACTCTCTTTTCCACCATATACTGTATATACTCGAGTATACACTTGCTGGAATACCCCAGCAAGCGAGAGTCCAAAAGTGGCAGGCTCAAACCTCGACTCGAATATAAGCCAAAGCACCTAATTTTGCCACAAAAAGCTGGGGAAACGCATTCCGCCAAAATGTTATTTAATAAAATGTCTAGAAGGTTCTGAAAACTGCTCTGCACAACTGCAGAGATTACCATATATGCAATTCACAGTTGACCACGATGGGAAAGAGTTCTTTCCCCCACCCTGGGCATCATTCCACAGATATATAAACCCCATTTTCCTAGTTTCCAACAGACCACACAACCTCTGAGGGTGCCTGCCATAGATGTGGGTGAAACGTCAGAAAAGAATGCTTCTGGAACATGGCCATATAGCCCAAAAAACTTATAGCAACCCAGGTTTCCTCCTTTCTGTTGACATTGTCCACATGTTTGTGGATTTCAATGGTTTCTCTGTGTAGTCCGACACGGTGGTTGTGAGAGTGGCCCAGCATTTCTGTCTTCTCCAGTCATATCCTGTGTCCAGGTTTGCATAATGGAAACAATTGAAAAATGATAATTCTTTGGAAATCTCATTGAGTTTTGGGCCTACGCAGAAATTACCTTGCTCCTGTGCAAGTTGTCGACTCTCACTTCAGTGTCTTCTTTATACGAGGGTTGAATGAAAAGTAATGCCTCCACCTTCGTTACTTTGCATCATACGCTCCTGTGCAAAATCTCTGCAAAAATGATCCACCTTTTTCTGGTGAAGAAAAAGAGTGCAGCTGGACTACCAAAACACGGCATTTTTAGCATTTCTGTCCTATCATCAGCCCTTCAGATAGAGCTTCAAGTCGGTCAAGTTGAAAATTGGTTGGCCGGTGGCCTCCTTTGTGAGACCAGATGGGCCATTCCTTTCATTCCTTGTGGGAAGCTTTGACTGGTTTGACTGGTTTTACCCTTGTTGCTGTGGCTGTGTGCTTGCTTTCGGTTGTTTGAACGTTGTCGAGAGTGGCTAAAGGATTATTTTATTTATTTTATGGACCTTGTTTATTTTGTTCAAAACAAAATACAGCTTACTTATTTATCGTGTCAGGAGCAACCAGACATTTGTCGTATTACATTTTTAACAAAAACTAACAAACAAAACACAAAGTTTGCAAGCTTGGTAGTTGATTAAATGTCCTTTGACCAGTATCTGGCCACTTGGAGTGCCTCTGGTGTTGCTGCAAGAAGGTCCTCCATTGTGCATGTGGCAGGGCTCAGGTTGCATTGCAGCAGGTGGTCTGTAGTTTGCTCTTCTCCGCACTCGCATGTCGGATTCCACTTTGTGGCCCCATTTCTTGAGGTTGGCTCTGCATATCGTGGTGCCGGAGCGCAGTCTGTTCAGCGCCTTCCAAGTCGCCCAGTCTTATGTGTGCCCAGGGGGGAGTCTCTCATTTGGTATCAGCCATTGGGGTTTGAGCCTGCCACTTTTGGACTCTCGCTTGCTGAGGTGTTCCAGTAAGTGTCTCTGTAGATCTTAGAAAACTATGTCTTGATTTAAGTCGTTGCCGTGCTGGCTGATACCCAAACGGGATGAGCTGGAGATGTCTCTGCCTTGGTCCTTTCACTATTGGCTGCTACTTCCCAGCGGATGTCAGGTGGTGCAATACCGGCTAAGCAGTGTAATTTCTCCAGTGGTGTAGGGCGCAGACACCCCATGATAATGCGGCATGTCTCATTAAGAGCCACATCCACTGTTTTAGTGTGGTGAGATGTGTTCCACACTGGGCATGCATACTCAGCAGCAGAGTAGCATAGAGCAAGGGCAGATGTCTTCACTGTGTCTGGTTGTGATCCCCAGGTTGTGCCAGTCAGCTTTCGTATGGTATTGTTTCTAGCACCCACTTTTTGTTTGATGTTCAGGCAGTGCTTCTTGTAGGTCAGGACACGGTCCAGAGTGACTCCCAGGTATTTGGGTGCGCTGCAATGCTCCAGTGGGATTCCTTCCCAGGTAATAATCCTCAGAGCTCGGGATGCTTGTCTGTTCTTAAGGTGAAAAGCACATGTCTGTGTTTTTGATGAATTAGGGATCAGCTGGTTTTCCCTGTAGTAGGCAGTAAGGGCACCTAGAGCTTCAGAGAGCTTTTGTTCTACCATCTCAAAGCTCCCTGCTTGAGCGGTAATGGCATGATCATCAGCATAGATGAAACTCTCTGTCCCTTCTGGCAGTGGCTGGTCATTTGTGTAAATGTTGAACATGGATGGAGCAAGCACGCTCCCCTGAGGCAGGCCGTTCTTCTGTTTCCGCCATCTGCTTCTCTGGCCCTGGAACTCAACAAAAAAGCTCCTGTTTTGTAGCAGGTTTCCTATGAGGCGGGTGAGGTGGTCGTCCTTTGTGATATTATACATTTTTCTCAGGAGGAGGCAGTGGTTTACAGTATCATAAGCCGCTGACAGGTCTATGAAGACAGCTCCTGTGATCTGCTGCCTTTCAAAGCCATCTTCTATGTGCTGAGTCAGGTTCAGCACTTGCGATGTGCAGCTTTTGCCTTTCCTGAAGCCAGCTTGCTGTGGAATCAGACAGGGGTCTATTTTTTCCATAATTCTATGCAAAATAAGTCTCTCCAGAACTTTGTAGAGGTGGCACAACAGGGAGATTGGTCTGTAGCTTTTTGGGTCATTACGGTCTTTGCCTGGCTTCAAGATGGCGATGACTCTTGCTTTCCTCCAGATTTTGGGGATCTGACAGGATGCCGTGCAGTTGTTCATCAGCTCCAGCAGCCAGCGCCTTGCTTTTGGGCTAAAGTTCTTGATTTGTTCCATCCGTAGATCATCCAGGCCACAGCTCATAATCAATCATCATAATGGAAACAGTTGAAAAAAATATAATTCTTTGGAAAGCTCAGAAATTCCATTGCTGAGCTCTGGTGCAAGTTGTTTGCTCTCACTTCGGTGTCTTCTTCGTAATTTCTGTAATTCTTGCACATAGGTTGTCTGCACCTCCATAGTGCACCTTCTAGAGCAGTGGTCCCCAATCCATGCAAAGCAGGTGAACGAAACATGCAGAATAATCACAGGTTGTCTTAAACCTACACCTGTTGATAAACTTAATGGTAGTGCATAGGGTGCAGACCCAAAATTAATAAGAACATCAGCCCTGGCCTTGTCTTACTCAACTGCCGAGTATGCCTGCCCTGTTTGGCATAAGTCTGCCCATGCAAAGCAGGTGAACATAGCATTGAATGAAACATGCAAATAATCACAGGATGTCTTAAACCTACACCTGTTGATAAACTCTACAAGCTAGCTGGCATTGCCCCCCCTTCCCGATGTGCGACGAGAAATTGCTGCTAAATGGGAGAGAAATAAGGTTGAACCCGGTGAAAGCCCCCCACTACATGGCTCCCAGCCTCCTCCCAGTAGACTCAAGTCAAGGGAAAGCTTTATGAGAACGACCACTCCATGCAAAGCAGGGGAACAGAGCATTGAATGAAACATGCGGAATAATCACAGGATGTCTTAAACCTACACCTGTTGATAAACTCTACAAGCTAGCTGGCATTGCCCCCCCTTCCCGATGTGCGACGGGAAGTTGCTGCTAACTGTGAGAGAAATAAGGTTGAACCCTGTGAAAGCCCCCCACTCCATGGCTACCAGCCTCCTCCCAGTAGACTCAAATCAAGAGAAAGCTTTATGGGAGTGACCACTCCTCTTAGCGTCCCCCCAGCAACAGCAAGGGTCTCCCTCTGGGCAGATAACCAGGAAATCCCAACTGGATCCCCCCCCCCACGAGAGAGGGTCTTCCTTCAGGGGCAAACCAAGGATGGGCAACCTGGAAGTCCCTGAACAGACTCAGAAGCGGAGAGGGCAGATCAAAAGACAACCTGGCAAAATGGCTTCCAGGTGGGCATCCTTGTCCAGATGGGCATCCAAGTGTAGCTTCCAGGTGGGCATCCTTGTCCAGGTGTGCATCCAAGTGTAGCTTCCAGGTGGGCATCCAAGTGTAGCTTCCAGGTGGGCATCCTTGTCCAGGTGGGCATCCAAGTGTAGCTTCCAGGTGGGCATCCAAGTGTAGCTTCCAGGTGGGCATCCTTGTCCAGGTGGGCATCCAAGTGTAGCTTCCAGGTGGGCATCCTTGTCCAGGTGGGCATCCAAGTGTAGCTTCCAGGTGGGCATCCAAGTGTAGCTTCCAGGTGGGCATCCTTGTCCAGGTGGGCATCCAAGTGTAGCTTCCAGGTGGGCATCCTTGTCCAGGTGGGCATCCAAGTGTAGCTTCCAGGTGGGCATCCTTGTCCAGGTGGGCATCCAAGTGTAGCTTCCAGGTGGGCATCCAAGTGTAGCTTCCAGGTGGGCATCCTTGTCCAGGTGGGCATCCAAGTGTAGCTTCCAGGTGGGCATCCAAGTGTAGCTTCCAGGTGGGCATTCTTGTCCAGGTGGGCATCCTTGTCCAGGTGGGCATCCTTGTCCAGGTGGGCATCCTTGTCCAGGTGGGCATCCAAGTGTAGCTTCCAGGTGGGCATCCTTGTCCAGGTGGGCATCCAAGTGTAGCTTCCAGGTGGGCATCCAAGTGTAGCTTCCAGGTGGGCATCCTTGTCCAGGTGGGCATCCAAGTGTAGCTTCCAGGTGGGCATCCAAGTGTAGCTTCCAGGTGGGCATCCTTGTCCAGGTGGGCATCCAAGTGTAGCTTCCAGGTGGGCATCCTTGTCCAGGTGGGCATCCAAGTGTAGCTTCCAGGTGGGCATCCTTGTCCAGGTGGGCATCCAAGTGTAGCTTCCAGGTGGGCATCCAAGTGTAGCTTCCAGGTGGGCATCCTTGTCCAGGTGGGCATCCAAGTGTAGCTTCCAGGTGGGCATCCTTGTCCAGGTGGGCATCCAAGTGTAGCTTCCAGGTGGGCATCCTTGTCCAGGTGGGCATCCAAGTGTAGCTTCCAGGTGGGCATCCTTGTCCAGGTGGGCATCCAAGTGTAGCTTCCAGGTGGGCATCCTTGTCCAGGTGGGCATCCAAGTGTAGCTTCCAGGTGGGCATCCTTGTCCAGGTGGGCATCCAAGTGTAGCTTCCAGGTGGGCATCCTTGTCCAGGTGGGCATCCAAGTGTAGCTTCCAGGTGGGCATCCTTGTCCAGGTGGGCATCCAAGTGTAGCTTCCAGGTGGGCATCCAAGTGTAGCTTCCAGGTGGGCATCCTTGTCCAGGTGGGCATCCAAGTGTAGCTTCCAGGTGGGCATCCAAGTGTAGCTTCCAGGTGGGCATCCTTGTCCAGGTGGGCATCCAAGTGTAGCTTCCAGGTGGGCATCCAAGTGTAGCTTCCAGGTGGGCATCCTTGTCCAGGTGGGCATCCAAGTGTAGCTTCCAGGTGGGCATCCTTGTCCAGGTGGGCATCCAAGTGTAGCTTCCAGGTGGGCATCCTTGTCCAGGTGGGCATCCAAGTGTAGCTTCCAGGTGGGCATCCTTGTCCAGGTGGGCATCCAAGTGTAGCTTCCAGGTGGGCATCCAAGTGTAGCTTCCAGGTGGGCATTCTTGTCCAGGTGGGCATCCTTGTCCAGGTGGGCATCCTTGTCCAGGTGGGCATCCTTGTCCAGGTGGGCATCCAAGTGTAGCTTCCAGGTGGGCATCCTTGTCCAGGTGGGCATCCAAGTGTAGCTTCCAGGTGGGCATCCAAGTGTAGCTTCCAGGTGGGCATCCTTGTCCAGGTGGGCATCCAAGTGTAGCTTCCAGGTGGGCATCCAAGTGTAGCTTCCAGGTGGGCATCCTTGTCCAGGTGGGCATCCAAGTGTAGCTTCCAGGTGGGCATCCAAGTGTAGCTTCCAGGTGGGCATCCTTGTCCAGGTGGGCATCCAAGTGTAGCTTCCAGGTGGGCATCCTTGTCCAGGTGGGCATCCAAGTGTAGCTTCCAGGTGGGCATCCTTGTCCAGGTGGGCATCCAAGTGTAGCTTCCAGGTGGGCATCCAAGTGTAGCTTCCAGGTGGGCATCCTTGTCCAGGTGGGCATCCAAGTGTAGCTTCCAGGTGGGCATCCTTGTCCAGGTGGGCATCCAAGTGTAGCTTCCAGGTGGGCATCCTTGTCCAGGTGGGCATCCAAGTGTAGCTTCCAGGTGGGCATCCTTGTCCAGGTGGGCATCCAAGTGTAGCTTCCAGGTGGGCATCCTTGTCCAGGTGGGCATCCAAGTGTAGCTTCCAGGTGGGCATCCTTGTCCAGGTGGGCATCCAAGTGTAGCTTCCAGGTGGGCATCCTTGTCCAGGTGGGCATCCAAGTGTAGCTTCCAGGTGGGCATCCAAGTGTAGCTTCCAGGTGGGCATCCTTGTCCAGGTGGGCATCCAAGTGTAGCTTCCAGGTGGGCATCCTTGTCCAGGTGGGCATCCAAGTGTAGCTTCCAGGTGGGCATCCTTGTCCAGGTGGGCATCCAAGTGTAGCTTCCAGGTGGGCATCCAAGTGTAGCTTCCAGGTGGGCATCCTTGTCCAGGTGGGCATCCAAGTGTAGCTTCCAGGTGGGCATCCTTGTCCAGGTGGGCATCCAAGTGTAGCTTCCAGGTGGGCATCCTTGTCCAGGTGGGCATCCAAGTGTAGCTTCCAGGTGGGCATCCTTGTCCAGGTGGGCATCCAAGTGTAGCTTCCAGGTGGGCATCCTTGTCCAGATGGGCATCCAAGTGTAGGTTTTTTAATCATCATGTGAAGGGATTCTAAAACGTTTTGCCATCTTTTCCCCCTTCAGGTCAACAACATGATTGTTTACGTCGAGAAGAAAGTGCTGGAAGACCCAGCCATCATGAACGACGATAGTTTTGGAGCAATGAAGAAAAGGTTTTGCACTTTCAGAGAAGGTAATCGTCACGTTTATATCGAAATCCCTCTTTCGGCTAAACCACTGAGCTTCTGAATTGCTGACCGAAAGATTGGTAATTCGACTCCAGGGAGCGGGTGAGCTCCCACTGTTAGCCCCAGCTTCTGCCAACCTAGCAGTTCGGAAAAATACAAATGAGAGTAGATCAATAGGTACTGCTTTCGCAGGAAAGTAACGGTGCTCCATGGAGTCATGCTGGCCTTGGAGGTGTCTATGGACAACACCGGATCTTTGGCTTAGAAATGAAGATGAACACCAACCGCCAGAGTCGGACACGACTAGACTTAATGATCTAAGGGTAAAGTCCTGTTTGAAGACAATGTTTTCTTCTTCTCTCCGTAGACTATGATGATATCTCAAACCAGATAGACTTTATCATCTGCCTGGGAGGAGATGGGACCTTGCTGTATGCTTCTTCGCTTTTCCCGGTGAGCTTATGACCATCGTGACTTGACTTCAGACCTTTTTCTTGTCGAGATTATTGTCAGTCGGAGCGTGGGAGTCTCCTCTTATTTGCGTGTGTGCTTTCACGTTGCTACAAATCCAAATGTGGGCAGCCTCAGACCATGGATCTAAAGCTGGATCCATTCTGGGTAGAATATTATTATTATTATTATTATTATTATTATTATTATTATTATTATTATTATTATTATTAATAATAATAATAATAATAACAATAATAATAATAATAATAATAATAATAATAAATATATTTATATTCCACTCTATCTCCCCGAAGGGACTCTGGGTGGTTTCTCCGGACATGCTTACTTACTTAGGCAATCCCTCGTAGCCCATGGATGATGGTCCTCCAAGTGTAGTGTCTTGACGGTAGATCCGTACGTGGCTACGGAGCCCTATTCTTGATCCGCAAGTTCTCCCGCAGTGAGAACATTGGTTTCCAGGTGAAAGATGGTCCTGCTCAGGGTTGTCTTGACGCACCTTCCCCTTGGCACGGTTCTCCCTTTCGTCCCACATTCGTGCCTCTTTGAATTCTACAGCACTGCTGGTCACAGCTGACTTCCAGCTGGAGCACTCAAGGGCCAGGGCTTCCAGTTCTTGATGGAATTACTCTCTGGAATTACTGATGGAATTACTCTCTGGAGCATGGCTTTGCCAAAATGTCCCAGTTATTATTATTATTATTATTATTATTATTATTATTATTATTATTATTAATGGGTGCAGTTCCTTCCTTTTTTTCTGAACAGTGCTATCTTCTTGTCAACAGGGCAGCGTGCCTCCAGTTATGGCTTTCCATTTGGGATCGCTTGGATTCCTCACCCCTTTCAATTTTGAGAATTTTCAGTCCCAAGTCGCTCAGGTTATCGAAGGTAAGCATTGATACCCAGTCAGCTCTGAATCAGGAGTTTTGAATTGGCACTCTGTTGACGCTATATGTTGATGTGTACCCTGTGTTTGGTTTATGTGTTTATAATTATTTTTTTAATCTATGTATTGTATTATATGTTCATATATTTTGAATGTGTTCTACCCTGCCTTGAGCCTTTTGGAGAGGCGAGTGACAAATAATAATAATAATAATAATTATTATTATTATTATTATTATTATATGATAAATAATAATAATATGACAAATAATAATATTTATAATAATTATAATAATTATAATATAATAATTATAGTATTATAATTATTGTAATTATAATATTATAATTATAATATTTTATAATTATATTTTATAAATATTTTATAATTTATAATTATAATAATTAATTATAATATTATATGACTAATAATTATATGACAAATAGTATTAATTATTATTGTTAAATAATAATAATGTATTATTATATAAATAATATAATATGACAATTAATAAAATATTTATTATTATTATAAATAATAATAATTTATTATTATATGACAAATAATAATAATATGACTAATAATAATATTTATATTATTATTATATAATATAATTATTATTATATGACAAATAATAATAATATGACAATAATAATATTTATTATTATTATTAATTATAATATTTATTATTATATAATAATAATATATAAATTATAATATTATAATTATTGTAATTATAATATTGTAATTATATTTTATAAATATTTTATAATTAAATTTTTTATAAATATTTTATCATTTATAATTATAATAATTAATTATAATATTATATGACAAATAATAATAATATGACTAATAATAATATTTATTATTATTACTAAATAATAATAATAATTTTTATTATTATAAGACAAATAATAATAATATGATAAATCATAATATTAATTATAATTATTATCATTAAATAATAATAATAATAATAATAATAATAATAAGACAAATAATAATATTTATTATTATTATTATTATTATTAGTAGTAGTAGTAGTAGTAGTAGTTTACTATTACTACCCGGCGTTGCCCAGGTTATTTTAAAAAGTCATTCTTTTTATTTTACAAAATGCATAAGGTTGTGGCTGAACGACAACTCACATCATGCCATTCTTACACTCAAGCCACACTGCTAAACTGGGGAGCTGGCCCAGCGCAGGCATCTCCGATGCCCCTATTTACCTCCTCAATCTCCTATTTCTAGGCAACGCAGCACTTGTTCTGCGAAGTCGACTTAAGGTGAAGGTGGTCAAGGAGCACAGAGAGAAGAAGATGATGATCCAGAACGGGATCGAAGAAAACGGAGTGATGCCTCCTCCAAGTCTAGAGAAAGAAGTGTTCAAGCAAGCGATTCAGTATCAGGTGGGTGAGTTGTCCTCCGTCGCATGGCCTTTCCTTCCTCTTTATTTTGGAGCATAATGCATCGATTTCGTGTGGGATTTGATTGTTTATTTCACGCCCCAATTGCATTTATTCCGAATTGTTCTTGTTATTTAATTTGGAATTAGCCGTTGCTGTGGCTCAGGCTGTGTATATGTGTTTTGTGTCTTTGTGTCTGTGTCTGTGTGTTTTGTGTGTGTATATATTTGTGTGTGTGTCTTTGCGTGTATGTGTGTGTGGTTTTGCGCATTTATTTATTTGCAACATTTATATGCCGCCCCTCTCACCCCGAAGGGGACTCAGGGTGGCTTACAAGATATATATACATACATTATATTATTAGCATAGTACAATATCAGGATTATATATTACTATATTGCACTATACCATTATATTGTAATATTATTAGTAATTAATTAGTAGTATTAGTATTAATATTGTAATATTATTAGTAATATTAGAAATAATATAAAATATATAATTATAATATTGTATTATTATTAGTATTATATTGTGTTATATTATAATATTATAAATATTATATGTATATGCAATATATTACATTACATTATATTATTATTTTTAATATTCACATATTAGCATTATTATTATTATTATTATTCGCTATTAGCATAGCTCAGGAGACATGGTGGAACTTTCCCCTGGCCCCCTCTCTTGTAATGTAATTTTTGGGGTTTTTTGGCTTTTTAAGTCTCTCCTGCTGTGTTTTTCAGTGTTTTTATGAGTGATGGTCACTAGTTGGTCGGATAGGTGTGTTGTGTCCAAATTTGGTGTCGATTCCTCCAGTGGTTTTTGAGTTATGTTCATCCCACTACATTTGTATTTATATAGACTAGTTTGGGTACCCAGCGTTATTTGAAAAAGTCATTTTTTTTTAATTGTACACAATGCTTAAGGTTGTGGGTGAGCTACAACTCCCATCATGCCAAGTTAACCCCCTGAAACTCCATCTGTACTTCAAGTTTGTTATGTTGGGGAAGTTTGCTATAGATGCATCATTGGTGGGGTTCAGTGTGCTCTCTGGCTGCAGGGTAAACTACAACTCCCACTACGGTGAGCCAGTCCCCTCAAACTCCTCCAGCACGTTGAGTTGGGTATGGGGATTCTGTGTGCCAAGTTTGGTCCAGATCCGTCATTGGTGGAGGTCAGTTTCTCTGGTTGTGGGTGAACTACAACTCCCAGAAAGGAAGGTCACTTACCCCCAAATCCCTCCAGTAATCAAATTTCGACATGGTATGTGTGCCAAGTTTGGTCCAGATCCATTGGTGTTTGGGTTCACAGTGCTCTCTGGATGTAGGTGAACTACAACTCCCATCATGCCAGGTGAACTACAACTCCCATCATTCCAGGTTAACCCCGAAAAGCTCCATCAGTACTTAAAGTTTGTTATGTTAGGAAAGTTTGCTCTGGATGTATCATCAATGGGGTTCGGTATGCTCTCTAGCTATAGGATAAACTACAACTCCCACTATGGTGACTCAGTCCCCTCAAACCCCTCCAGTAGGTTGAGTTGGCCATCGAGGTTCTGTGTGCCACGTTTGGTACAGGTCCATCAAGGTGAATTTTCCCCAAATACGTCCAGTATGTTTTGCTGGTCATGGGGGCTCAGTGTGCCAAGTTTGGTCCAATTCTATCCTTGGTGGAGTTCAGAGTGCTCATTGATTGCAGGTAAACTATAAATCCCAATACCTACAAATCCAAAATGTTATGAAACCATGTAATGGAGATACATAACCATTCTGGACACAGTTCTAGGTGAGTGCGGCCAATATCTCACCTTCATTCCTTCATCTGTGGTGGCAGGTCCTGAATGAAGTGGTGGTGGACCGAGGCCCTTCCTCTTACCTCTCCAACGTGGACGTCTTTCTCGATGGGCACCTCATCACCACGGTGCAAGGAGATGGTAAGACTCTTCCCTGTTTGCTAGAAGATCCGGATCTCTGCTTCAGAATAACAGCTTGGAAAGGAGAGCTCAGTAAAGTTGGGCCTGAATCACCGTTAACGAAAGGATTTATAGTTTTCAGAGGGCCATTTTTGTGTAAGAAAGGGAAGAGAAAGACAAAAGGACTGTCAAAAATATTAAAAATTAACTAGGTATTTTTAATTACAAAAAGTGGGAGGTAGGCCTCAGTATGAGAAGGCCTCGTGTGTGAAGCTCCAGCAACCCCTCAGTCTGAGAGAGCTCTCAGTGTGAGAGAAGCCTCTCTGTGTGAGAGAACACCTCAGTGAAAGAATAGGCCTCATTGTTAGTTGGCCTAATTGTGACGTAGGCCTCAGTATGAGAAGACCTCGTGTGTGAAGCTCCGCCAACCCCTCAGTCTGAGAGAGCTCTCAGTGTGAGAGAAGCCTCTCTGTGTGAGCAGATGCTTCACACTGGGAGAATAGGTCTCAGTGGTATTGGCCTCACTGTGGGAGAAAGGCCTCAGTGTGAGGTAGGCGTCATTATGAGGAGGGAAATTCTTAGTAACGTCTCAGTCTGAGAGAGCTCTCAATGTGAGAGAAGCCGTTCAGTGTGAGAGAACGCTTCAGTGAAGAATAGGTCTCAGTGGTATTGGCCTCACTGTGGGAGAAAGGCCTCAGTGTGAGGTAGGCCTCATTATGAGAAAGGAAATTCTTAGTAACGTCTCAGTCTGAGAGAGCTCTCAGTGTGAGAGAAGCCTCACTGTGAGAGAACACCTCAGTGAAAGAATAGGCCTCATTGTTAGTAGGCCTAGTTGTGAGGTAGGCCTCGGTATGAGAAGGCCTCATGTGTGAAGCTCCAATGTGAAGGTTGGTGGCCAGATTAACTGTTAATTATTAGTAATATTACATGTAATATAAATATATAATTACAATATCATATTATTAGTAGTATTATATTGCATTACATTATAATATTATTACAATATAGTCATAATGAATACTGATATTAATTAATAATTAATAACAGTATTAATTATTACTATATTGTATTATACCATTATATTATAATATTATTAGTAATATTACATGTAATATAAATATATAATAATATCATATTATTATTAGTAGTAGTATTATATTGCATTACATTAATAATATTATAAATCACAAATTATAAAACAGTAGGGTGGTGTTTTGCAGCTGACAGATGATCATTTTGTCAGTGCCGATTGTGCTTAAGTGCAGGCCAAGGTCTGGAGGCACTGCACCCAGTGTGCCGATCACCAAGTTGTTGTTGTTGTTATTATTATTATTATTATTTTAATATTATTATTATTATTCAGGTGTCATTGTGTCCACTCCGACGGGCAGCACAGCCTATGCAGCAGCGGCCGGCGCGTCCATGATCCACCCCAACGTCCCTGCGATCATGATCACCCCCATCTGCCCCCACTCGCTGTCCTTCCGGCCCATCGTTGTTCCTGCAGGAGTGGAGCTGAAGGTGGGCTCTTCGCCGCCCCCCTAAAATCACTCAGGGAATCCCACCTCAAAGAATTTTCGCGTCCTCTTCTGTGATGGATTACTGGACAGAGAGCTATGGTTCTGTCACATTGGATGGGTGGCCATCTGTCAGGGGGGATTGGATTGGATTTTGCTGCCTGGCAGAAGGGGGTTGGACTAGATGGCCCTTGGGTGTCAAGGCGCAGGCATTTACTTCTCATCTTATTTCTTGTATTTTCATTATTATTTCTTCCTCTTTTCTCTTTCTCCTCTTTGCCTTCTCCTCCTCCCCCTTCTACTTCTCGTGTTTCTCCTTCTCTTCCTTCTCCTCCTTCCCTCTTCTCCCCCTTCTGCTTCTCCTTCTCCTTTTGCTTCTCTTTTCCTCCTTCTTTCCTTCTTCCTCCTCTTCCTCTCCTCCCCTTCTCCTGCTACTCCTTCTCCTCCTGCTTCTCCTTTTCCTCCTTCTCATCTTCCTCGTTTTCCCTTCTTCTCCTTCTCTTCCTCCTCCTTGTCTCCTCCCTTGTATTCCTCCTCCTGCTTCTCTTTTTCCTCCTTTTCCTTCTCCTTCTCCTGTTCCTCCACCTGTTTCTCCTTCTCCTCTCCTCCCCTTCTCCTCCTGCTACTCTTCTCCCTTCTCCTTTCTCTTCTCCTCTCCTCCTCTTTCCCCTTTTCTTCTTCTTCTTCTCCTTCCTTTTTCCTCCTCCTCTTCTCCTTCCTCCTTCTTTTCCTCCTCCTCTTCCTCCTCTTCTCCTTCTTCTCCTTTTCCTTCTCCTCCTCTTCTCTTCCTTCTTCTCCTCTCCTCCTCCTGCCACTCCTTCTCCTCCTCTTTTCCCTCCTTCTCCTTCTCCCTCTCCTCTTCCTCCTCCTGTTTCTCCTTCTCCTTTTCCTTCTCCTCCCCTTCTCTTCCTTCTTCTTCTCTCCTCTCCTTCTCCTCCTGCCACTCCTTCTCCTCCTTCTCTTTTCCCTCCTTCTCCTTCTCCCTCTCCTCTTCCTCCTCCTGTTTCTCCTTCTTCTCCTTTTCCTTCTCCTCCCCTTCTCTTCCTTCTTCTCCTCTCCTCTCCTTCTCCTCCTGCCACTCCTTCTCCTCCTTCTCTTTTCCCTCCTTCTCCTTCTCCCTCTCCTCTTCCTCCTCCTGTTTCTCCTTCTTCTCCTTTTCCTTCTCCTCCCCTTCTCTTCCTTCTTCTCCTCTCCTCTCCTCCTCCTGCCACTCCTTCTCCTCCTTCTCTTTTCCCTCCTTCTCCTTCTCCCTCTCCTCTTCCTCCTCCTGTTTCTCCTTCTTCTCCTTTTCCTTCTCCTCCCCTTCTCTTCCTTCTTCTCCTCTCCTCTCCTTCTCCTCCTGCCACTCCTTCTCCTCCTTCTCTTTTCCCTCCTTCTCCTTCTCCCTCTCCTCTTCCTCCTCCTGTTTCTCCTTCTTCTCCTTTTCCTTCTCCTCCCCTTCTCTTCCTTCTTCTCCTCTCCTCTCCTTCTCCTCCTGCCACTCCTTCTCCTCCTTCTCTTTTCCCTCCTTCTCCTTCTCCCTCTCCTCTTCCTCCTCCTGTTTCTCCTTCTTCTCCTTTTCCTTCTCCTCCCCTTCTCTTCCTTCTTCTTCTCTCCTCTCCTTCTCCTTCTGCTACTCCTTCTCTTTTTCCTCCTTCTCCTCTTCCTCCTCCTGTTTCTCCTTCTTCTCCTTTTCCTTCTCCCCTTCTCTTCCTTATTCTCCTCTCATAATATTACAATATAATTGTATAGTACTATATAGTAATAATTAATACTGATATTAATTATTACTATATTGTAATATTATTATAATGTAATGCAATATAATACTAATACTAATTATATGATATTATAATTATATATTTATATTACATGTAATATTACTAACATTACAATATGATGGTATAATACAATATAGTAATAATTAATACTGATATTTAATTATCACTATATTGTAATAATATTATAATGTAATGCAATATAATATTAATAATATGATATTATAATTATATATTTATATTACATGTAATATGACTAATAATATTACAATATAATTGTATAGTGTAATATACTAATAATTAATACTATGCTAATAATATAATACATTGTATGTGTGTGTGTGTGTATATATATATATATATATATCTTATAAGCCGCTCTGAGTCCCCTTCGGGGTGAGAAGGGCAGCATATAAATGTCGTAAATAAATAAATTAATAATAATAATAATAATAATAATAATAATAATAATAATAATGAGAACAGTAATCCCAATTGAACCAGACCAAAGATGTGATGTACTTTTCTTTCTCTTCAGATAATGCTTTCTCCTGACGCCAGAAACACAGCATGGGTTTCCTTTGATGGGCGGAAAAGACAGGAAGTCTGCCACGGGGACAGGTGAGGCTCTTCCTGTTTTGTCCTTCGGGAAAGGTTAAGCATATGTGGAACGAACAGTCTTGTCTGGTTCATTTCTGAAGGTTGGCTCTGCACCTCGTGGTGCCAGAGCGCAGTCTGTTTAGCGCCTTCCAAGTTGCCCAGCCTTCTGTGTCCCCAGGAGGGAGTCTCTCATTCACTATCAGACATGGCTTGAGGTTCCAGGTTTTTAGCCTGCCACTTTTGGACTTTTGCTTGCTGAGGTGTTCCTGTGAGTATCTCTGTAGATCTTAGGAAGCTGTTTTTTGATTTAAGGCATTGGTTTGTTGGCTGATATCCAAATAGAGGATGGGCCGGAGATGTCACTGGCTTGGTCCTTTCATTGTTGGCTGATACTTCCCGGCAGTTGTCAGGTTTCATACAGATAGGCCTTAAGATGGCTGAGGATTTAGCCTTCAGAGTTCCCCATTGTAGCTCAAACAACCAAGTCTTGACTCTTTTCCGAAATGTTAAGAGGGAGGGGACTGATCTGATGTCCCCAGAAAGGGCGTTCCATAGCTGAGGGGCCACCACTGAGAAGGCCCTGTCTCTCGTCCCCACCAAACGTGTTTGTGATTGAGAGCAGGGCCTCCCTGGGCGATCTTAAAGTCCGAGCAGGTTCATCAAGTATAGGAAGACTAATTTTGTAATCTGCTGCCTTTCAAAACCTTCTTCAACACTTGTGATGTTCAGCTTCTGCCTTTCCTGAAGCCAGCTCCATGGCTCTATCTTTTCCATAATTCTATGCCAAACGAGTCTCTCCAGAACTTTGTAAACAAGGAGATCTGTACTAACGGAAAGCTGTTCTTCTGTCCCTTGCAGCATCAGCATCACTACCTCTTGTTACCCTCTCCCATCCATCTGTTTCCAAGACCCTGTCAGTGACTGGTTTGAGAGTCTGGCCGAGTGTTTGCACTGGAACGTGCGGAAGAAGCAAAATAACTTTGCGGTGGATGAGGAAGACGAGTTTTGAGCGCTATCCCTGTGTCTAAAATTCTATTTTTTACGCCGAAATCTGCTGGGACTAGACCAAGAAATATATAAATATATAAATATAAATTTTCAAAGATGACAGCGATGTACCTCATATCCGTCTGTTCTGCTGCTGACCAGAGACGTCACCTTTTCTGTCTGTCGGGAACACTTTGAGAGTCACAAGTAGAGACTCCTTTTGTCGAGCGGATTGTTTGTTTGTCAGCGTGCGCTGTGTTTCCCAGCAAAGAGAAGCAAAGCGTTTTGCAGAAGCCTTATTAAAACCATTGGCGTTTCTTTGGACTTGTTTCTCACGGGGGCTTATCCCAGATTTTGGTGAATTTGCAAAAGGCTGTTGCAACGGCGCTCGTAAAACGTGCACTTAGCAAAGCAAGAAGGATCGGTGGGACGGTTCCTTGAGGTCCACTTTTTTTCTGGCTTTGGTTTACGGAAAAAGGTTTTCATGCTGGGTTTTCCCATTCCTGTGTATCTCTGTGTTTTTTACATTGTCGCCATCAACATGTTGGTTGCATTTCTTTGACGATGGCTTTTCATCCCTTCCTCCATTCTCACATTGGGAAGAAGAATAATCCAGAAAGAAATCTTTCTGGCAGGGGCGGCTCGTCCATTATGCGAAGTAAGCGGCCGCAGAACACTTTTTTTTGCCAGGGGCGCAGAGGCACCTCTGTAAATGCCCCTCGACGGCCACTTGAGGAGCGCCCCCTCAGCTCACAACAGCCCTAGCAGTCCGGGGGGAGCCTCGGCTTTCTTGCCTCGCTGCCGGGCGATCCTCTTCCCAAAGGGGCCGGGCCCTTGAGCCTCGCCTAGCCCCTCTCGTTCCTGCTCCACCCGGCCACCGGGTGCGCGAGCAGAGCCGGCGCTCAATCGTTCTCCGCGTTCGATCCCTTCCCCATGACCGGCTCCCTTTCCCGATCCCCCGGCGCTCCACCTGCCTCCTCTCCTCTCCCCAATCCGCGGGTGGGCCAAGGGGCGGAGCCGCCAAGCCTGGCCCGCTTCGGGTCCGGAGGCGTGTCTGAAGACCCCAGCGTGCGCACCAAAAGTCGCCTCTTCTCCTGACTTTCTCTTCAGCCATTGGGACCAAGAGAGAGAGAGAGAGAGAGAGAGCCCCTCCAGCTGGAGGTATCTCCCACCTCCGCTCCCTCCTTTGTTTTTGCACCTACCTTCAGGAAAGGTGGGCATCTCCACCTCCCTCTCTCTCTCTCTCTCTCTCTCGAGAGAGAGAGAGAGAGAGGCCCTCCAGCTGGAGGTATCTCCCACCTCCGCTCCCTCCTTTGTTTTTGCACCTACCTTCAGGAAAGGTGGGCATCTCCACCTCTCTCTCTCTCTTTCTTGAGAGAGAGAGAGAGAGAGGCCCTCCAGCTGGAGGTATCTCCCACTTCTGCTCCCTCCTTTGTTTTTGCACCTACCTTCAGGAAAGGTGGGCATCTCCACCTCTCTCTCTCTCTCAAGAGAGAGAGACAGAGAGGCCCTCCAGCTGGAGGTATCTCCCACCTCCGCTCCCTCCTTTGTTTATGCACCTACCTTCAGGAAAGGTGGGCATCTCCACCTCTCTCTCTCTCTCTCTTGAGAGAGAGAGAGAGAGAGAGCCCCTCCAGCTGGAGGTATCTCCCACCTCCGCTCCCTCCTTTGTTTTTGCGCCTACCTTCAGGAAAGGTGGGCATCTCCACCTCTCTCTCTCTCTCTCTCTCTTGGTCCCAATGGCTGAGGAGAAAGTCAGGAGAAGAGGTGACTTTTGGTGCACACGCCGGGGTCTTCAGGCACGCCTCCGGACCCAAAGCGGGCCAGGCAAGGGAGCAAGTGCGGCAAGTGTAGTTACTGGGATGTATAGTTCACCTACAATCAAAGAGCATTCTGAACTCCACCAATGATGGAATTGAACCAAATATGGCACACAGAACTCCCACCACGAACAGAATATATATAGCAGTGACTGATTGGGGGGGGGGGGCAAAATACTGTTTGCTTACCCTTGAAAATTACCTAGGGCCGCCTCTGCTTTCTGGATATCGCAATTGCGGGGGATAGTGGCTTTTCATGGTGCATTTCAAGGACGCAAGTGTCCTTTTGAGATGGATATACGTTTGTAGAGTCTCACTTATCCGACCTTCGCTTATCCAACATTCTGTCTTATCCAACCCCTCCCTTTTCACCCAATTAAAGGAACGCTCCCCAACTCTCCAAAGTGGCATTTCGGCTGAGAGAGCAGAGCGGGTTGGTGCTTTCTTTAGGTCATAAACATCTATAATTTCAGCCTTCTAAGTGCAATCAGCCTATACATAAACATACAGTGTTCCCTCACTTATTGTGCTGGGGTTACGTTCCAGCACCTCCCGCAATAAGTGAAAAACCGCGATGTAGGGGCGCTCTATTTATTTTAATATTTATACATTACTAGCCATCCCCTGCCATGCGTTGCTGTGCCCCACATGGGGGTTCTGTGTGGGAGGTTTGGCCCAGTTCTATCGTTGGTGGGATTCAGAACGCTCTGTGATTGTAGGTGAACTATAAATCCCAGCAACTACAACTCCCAAATGTCAAGATTCTATTTTCCACAAACTCCACCAGTGGGTTGTTGTAGGTTTTTTCGGGCTGTATGGCCATGATCTAGAGGCATTCTCTCCTGACGTTTCGCCTGCATCTATGGCAAGCATCCTCAGTGAGGTCTGTTGGAACTAGGAAAATGGGTTTATATATCAGGGTGGGACAAAGGACTCTTGTCTGTTGGAGCTAGGTGTGAATGTTTCAACTGACCACCTTGATTAGCATACAATGGGCGGACTGTGCTTGGAGCAACCTTTTGTTGAGAGGTAATTAGATGTCCCTGCCTGCTTCCTCTCTGTTGTTGTGCTGTTGCAATTTTAGAGTACTGGTAGCCACGAGAGAATGCCGTCTAGACCATGGCCATACAGCCCGAAAAAATCTACAACAACCCAGTGATTCCGGCCATGAAAGCCTTCGACAATAAACTCCACCAGTATTCACATTTGGGCATATTGACTATTTGTGTAGAGTTTGGTCCGGATCCATCCTTGTTTGAGTCCATAGTGATCTCTGGATGTAAGTGAACTACAACTCCAAAACCAAAGGACACTGCCCACCAAACCCTTCCAGTATTTTCCATAGGTTGTGAGAGTTCTGTGTGCCAAGTTTGGTTCAATTCCATCGTTGGTGGGGTTCAGAATGCTCTTTGATTGTAGGTGAACTATAAATCCCAGCAACTACAACTCCCAAATGATTAAAAAAATTGAGTGAAGGACATAGAGTGGGTTGTAAACAAAGTCCAGGATTCCAAGATTACAGGAGACAGATCAGGATACTGAAAAATCCAACAGACATGGGGGAAAAACCAGCAGCGTCCACCACCAAAATACAACAGATACTTTTCTCCCAAAGACACAATTGTGCCTTGTGTCCAAATTTGGTGTCAATTCGTCCAGTGGTTTTTGAGTTCTGATAATCCCACAAACGAACATTACCTTTTTATTTATATAGATTTTAGTAGGTATACACTATTTTAAGTCTTTATAAACTTAAAATAAAGTGAAGGAAAGGCCCTTCAAGGCTGGAGGGAGGGAGGACTGAGGAGGGAAAGCACCTCGGAGAGCGGCGGCGGCAAAAAAACCCCCCCAAAACAGCGAAAATACCGCAATATATATATTATTTTTTTCCCATTTCCATTTCTGCTGTTTGCTTCCTGTGTTCCTCCTCTTCTACAAAAGTCTGGAGGCATCCTCAAGGAGAAACTAAGCGGCCTTCGTTGGGAGTGTGTCGTCTGTTGCTAATGCTAACAAGTAAAATATCTTTCTCCAAAGCATTTATTTATTCCACCACCCAGTTTTTTGTCATGTCCATTTTGCACAGCTTTCAACAATACCTTCAAATGCACTTATAACCTCTCTGTGTGTACGTTTAATGTAGTGACTGCTTGCAATGTGTTGTGGGTTTGGATCTGCTTGATAGATTGTTGGTGAAGGAGCGCAATTGAGTGCTATAATTTATGTTACCACTGTTTTAAAAGTCACGGCTTTTCAAGATGGAAGATGGTTCTGTTTTGACTCTCCGTCGCCTTGAGTTGTGGCGACAGCATTGTTTTAAGAGTGGTTCTGCACATATGCTTGGAAAAAAAATCCTTCATAGCCTTCTGTCGGCTTTGAAAAGAGAGGCAGGGTTTGATTTATATTTATCTTCTGGGCAAGGTAACCAGTATGGCATATGCGTCTAGATCACAGCTTTCCAAACGTAGAATCGTAGAGTTGGAGGAGACCACAGAACAGAGGTCCACAAATGTCACTCTTGCATCCCAGTTCCGGAAACGAGAACATAAGATTAAATCCACCAAACTGGACTGTGGGCAAAACAATCCTCTTTATTGATGAAAAATGGTTACAAAAGAAAGGTAAATGCAAAGTCAAAATACCAGAGTAGAAACACAGCAGTCAGGAAAATCTCTGAACTTGAGCAAAATCCCAATCCACAATACAAAAACCAGGAACCTGTTAGCATATCACTAACCGTACTTGAAAACTAGAAGCCTCTGGGAATGCAGGCCATGGAACACAGGAAATCTGCCAAGGTACTGCCTCAGTCTAAAACGATGCTTGATCTAGCTAGACAGCCGGCGAGAGGCCCCTTAAACTAAAGAAACTATTTCTTGAAATGCCTCCAGACTTTGAAGCCTCCCTCTCCCGTAATCTATTTGACCTTCGTAGAAACTGCGACTCACTCCTGTTTTTCCAAATCTGTTCTCCTCGGTCCTCATCAGCAAACCCAGATGTGAGTCCCTCTGGAGAGCTATCACTGCTTGATTCCAAAACATTCTCATCAGGAAGTTCAGTTTCACTTTCCCCGCCACTGGCCTCAGAATCAACACCATCAGGGAAAGATACATGTTCAGAGGCCTGTTCAGTTGCATCAAGAAATACAATTAAAGAATCAGGTTCAGGTTCTGGTTCGCACGGAGGCTGAACCCCAACAGTCACGTTGCCAGGGCTCTACCTTATTTAGGTTAGAGATGAACCAAACTCCCAGTTTTATCAAACAGTTTAATTAAAACAGCACTTACTTGCTGGCTGTTTTAATAGACCAAAACATAAAACATAAAGATAGGACCCAGCCACAGAATATACAAAAACCGATAGCAAAAACAACTCCGTAGTCAAAAGGGTCCATTCCAGTGGTCAAATGCCGAGAGTTCAATAAACAAAGTCCAGGGATCAAGAGTCTATACCGTAGTCAAAAGCTAGTCCAAAGGTTTAAAGTTCCAGGATTCCAAGATTAGAAGAAACAGGTCAGGATACCGAAAAATCCAACAGCCCTGGGGGGAAAAACCAGCAGCATCCACCACCAAAATACAACAGATACTTTTCTCTCAAAGATCAGTCTCAAGGTTAGCTCCTTAAATCCAGTAACACCCAGCTGCAACCCATCTCCTGCACACTTTCACCCATGAACTCCCACTTA